TATCGTTGTAAAGCTCATACAGCTCATCGTTAAATCGTCTGTGGTATTCGCCATCGCCAACGCGTAACGGTACGTAAATCTTTCGCAGAATCTTTGTCTCGAAAACTCCAAGAGCCGCTTCATCAGATGTTTTCATTGTCCATGCCTCCGCGCCATACACCAGCACAGGCATGATGAGTGACTTATAGAGTGTGATCTTTGTACGACGTGAGAGAACTTACTTCTCAATTGCCTACTCAGTCCAAAGTAGTACTTGTTGGCAAGAGTGATTCTCCGTTGGATTTCAAGGCTGACATTATTATTGGTGTTAATGCTGGTTCCCAAATAAACGAAGTCGTCTACTTTTTCAAACTTGTAACTGTCACCAGTGACGTGGGTGCCAATGCGCGTATGCTCTGACTGTTTGTGTGATGACAGGAGATAGTTCGTTTTGTCCTCGTTCACCACCATACCCATTCGCTTTGCTTCTCTATCCAATCTCGAGAAGGCAGAACAGACGTAGCCCTTGTTTTTACCGATAATATCGCTGTCGTCGGCATACGCCAGCAATTGTACACTCTTGTAAAGTATTGTGCGTGAGCGGTTCAGTTCTACGGCTCTTATTATCTTCTCCAACGTCAGATTAAAGAAATCACAAGAGAGGGAGTCACCCTGTCTGAACCCTCGTTTGGTATGAAACAGCTCGGAGAAGTCCTTCCCTATTCTGATGGAGCTGGTGGTATTGCTCAACGTCATTTTACACAGCCGTATTAGTTTCGTGGGGATACCAAATTAAGACATTGCGGCATAAAGACAACTTCTCTTCGTGCTGTCGAAAGCGGCTGTGAAATCGACAAATAGATGGTGCGTGTCGATCCTATTCTCGTGGGTCTTTTCCAAGAATTGGCGTATTGTTAATACCTGATCTATTGTGGATTTGCCAGGCCTAAAGCCACACTGATAATGTCCAATCAGTTCGTTGACGGTGACCTTCTGCCTTTCGCACAATACACTAGATAAGACCTTATAACCTATGCTTAGAAGGCTGATTCCGCGGTAGTTAACACTTAAATTCCAGTCGTTTGACATGCGTTCATCTGACCATATTCTGCATAAGAGTTGATACATGCACCTTATCAACTCCTCCACCCAGTAGGGTGGAAAAGTGTTCTATCCATAATTCAAGTACGTTCTGGACATCGGTCACTAGGTCTCCATTGTTGTTCTTAAACGAGTTTTCCCTGCTTTTGAAACCTTCCGTAAGTCGCCTAACCTTCTGGTAAAATTTTCGGGCGTTTTTCCTGTCGGCTAGCATTTCAAGCTCTTCGCACAAACGGATTTCGGCCTATCTCTTCTTATTGCGGCAAATACGTCTCGTTTTCTTCTTCAGTTCCCCATAACAGTCCCACATGGCTCGTGTTGCGCCCGTCGCAGCGTGGTCCTATAGGCGGTGTCTTTTTTCTCTGCGGCTTCTTGACATTCCTCATCATACCAGTTGTTCTTTCGGGCTCGCTGAAATCCAACTACTTCTTCGGCGGCGGTACTTAATGATCGGGAAATGTGGTTCCACTACTCGGTTATGTCGGATTGATGAAGAGTGCTCTCAGAGAGCAGGTGTGGGAGTCGAGTGGCGAATAAATTGACCGTTTGATGTGATTCCAGCTTTTCGACGTTAAGCTTTCCTGCATTGCTGGGCGCAAATTTTTTGCAGCACAGAGGCGGGTGCGTATTTTGGCTACAACAAGATAGTGGTCCGAGTCGATGTTTGGCCCTCGGAGTGTACGTACGTCTAAAACGCTAGAAGAATGCCTTCCGTCTATCACAACGTGGTCGATTTGGTTTCTCATTTTTAGATCTGGAGACAGCCATGTAGCTTGGTGGATGTTCTTATGCTGGAACCTAATATTACATATTACCATGTTTCGCGCCTCGGCGAAGTCGATCAGCCGCAGTCCGTTGTCGGACGTTTCGTCGTGGAGGCTGAATTTTCCGACAGTTGCGCCAAAGATCCCTTCCTTGCCCACCTTGGCATTAAAATCGCCGAGAACGAATTTAACATCGTTTCGCGGGCAGCGCTCATATGTACGCTCTAAGCGCTAATAGAAGAGATCCTTGGACGCCTCGTCCTTCTCTTCCGTCGGGGCATGTGCGCTGATCAGCGAGATGTTGAAGAATCTCGCTTTGATGCGGATTGTGGCTAGATGTTCGCCCACCGGGGTGAACGCCAGCACTCGGCGCGGAGTCTCACTCCTACCACGAATCCAACACTGAATTTGCACTATTTTACGTGGAAACTGTAGTAGACGTCGCAAGTCTTCCCACTTACATTTCCTTGCCCCGTCCATCGCATTTCTTGGATGGAGGTGATGTCAGCATTTGTCTTCCCGAGGACATCAACCAGCCGGGCAGACCTTCCCCGTTAGGGGTCCAGATATTCCAGGTGCATACAATTAAATCATAGTCCTTTATACGTTCGTCATCAAAAAAAGGGGGTCTCATCCGAGGCTGTTTGTTGTTTTTCATTGGGCGGGGTTTTAACGTGGCGGGACCCAAACAAAGCGCACGCGAAGTTTTACGCATTCTCACTTTAGCTCGCTCCCAAACGGGTGTTTGGTTGCTACCCAGAGGATACGTGGATATAAATATCCGGACGCTGTGAGCTGCGATTTGAACCGTACGCACAAGAATCGCTTCTGGCCACTCCCAGGTGAATGGCAGTCAAAAGTTTTTCAATTCTGCGCACGGAACCATCCTCTTCGCTGCATATAGGGAAGTGATAAGTCGCTCGAATTTTCAGCCATGGTCAAAGCTTACCCAGCTTTGCTATCACACGGCGCTTCAAGCATCGCTCACACTCCACTTCCGGAGCAATTTTCTGCATGGTGGTAAGCTACGGCTTACAAGCCGCACAGGGGTTCTGCATGAATACATCGCTGAATAAATCCCAGCTCATTGAACAGCAGCCTACGGCAGCTAGAACATGACTCCTCTTATGGAGTCACCCAAATTATACATGGTAGAAGGGTCACATCTTGTGCTACCGCTTCATCGGCCTCTCTTTCTCTCATATCAGGCATATGCAATGCCCCTTATTCTCTAACTCGATTACAACCACTCGATCCAAATGGATCAAAATGATACGTTTTTCATCGAGAGTGGTGTTCTTTAGAAATTTGAGTTCAGCTCAATGAAAGAATTTCCAAACAACACTACTCTGTAGCCTTAAGAATTTCATCTAATCCAATCTCATATCCAATCCAATTTCATATCTGATTTTAGTTAAGTATGCAAATGAATTCAACTGTTACAAGAATATAAAAGTTTTATTTTCACTCTGTATTTTATATAAAAACCAAAAAATATTAATAAAAAGTGTTAACGATCTCAATTAAAAATTCAAACTACCATTTTAATTTAAGAATTAGAGGTTTTATTGAAGATTGATACTTTGATACTTAAAGTTTTTTTTCATGATACTTTTGATCCATTTTAGGGAATTTTGTCGATACATTTATTCTGAACGCCGCGGCAACACTGAGTACAACTCTAAACCTGGGCTCGAATCGTAACAGTCGTGAACGAGCAACTCGTCACGTAAAAATGACAAAATCGGATTGTGACAGACGTGAACGAACTTCTTATATCGTAATTCGGTATTATGACAGGTGTGAACGAGTGAGTGAACTTTTCTTTCGTACGTGTTTATTGATATATCTGTACTGTAGTGTTTTCGGACGGTACTAGCTCTTACTGCCAATATAGGAGTATTACATATATGGCTCTGGCACATACTTATCAGGTAATCGCTACCAACTGTTTGTTGATAGCTACCACTTGCAAGGAGCGAGAGGCTTGCAGCCAATTGCAGAGCAGCAGGAACGGCTTTTGTGTCATCGCAGTTTATGTTTGTTTTCGATAAAACATACTAGAATGCCTCCTTGCTTAACCGAAATCTTTTGATGAATCTGCAAGTATAGGAGTAGAGAAGGTAATTTATTTCCTATGTATAATTTCTTACGCGTTGTCGGATAATGCCAATGGATTGCTTCTGCCCCGAAGTTGCTTACGCACAACTCTTTCGTCATTTTCGCTTTCGCTAGAGCTTAAATGAAATAAAAGGCTCGGATCCATTTTAGTTTTGCCGCTTTTCTTTATTTACTTTTCACTTATTTTGACACTTCAATGTCTATTGTGACTTAAAAAAGGAAGAAGAAGAGAAAAATAATCGATAACCAAATAAAAAATAACGATTCGTTCGCCTTCGATTGTTATCATCCGAATGAACAATATTCGATTAAACGATCACGTAATTTGTGTTCGTACGATTGCCGACTCGTTCACGTCTGTCACGATTCGACCCCTGGTCTCCCGCTCTCCCTCAGCTAAACAATAGGAGTTTATGTAATTTCTGAAAGATACCCTTACATAGGAAGTGGGCGTAATTTTATGCCGATTTTAAAAATTTTCAGCTTATCGCTTTTCAATACCAATAATAATTTTACCGAGTTTGGTAGATATTGATGAATTAAAAAAAAATGCCTAATTGTCTTATTTTATGCCAAAATTCCATTCACTTTCCAATTTTCAACAATTTGGATCCAGTTTTTCCGAAAAATCGTAATTTGTGCATTTTTCGAAAACACCGTTACATAGGTGACGGGCATGGTAACCGTCCTATATCACCCGTTTTCAATACCAACCTACCTTAAATGAAGGGCAAACTTCATGTCGAATTTCGTTGAGATATCTAAATTTTCGACTGAGTTATCGTACACACGGACGGACAGACATAGCTAAATCGGCATCTCTTTTCATTCTGAGTATTGTGGTATATATATGTCTATATATATCTCGATTACTTTAGGCTGTTGCAACAACGGTCACGCGAACAAAGTTATAATACATTTGTGCACAAGTACGCTCGGGTATAAGAATAAAAAAAAACAGCTATTTATTATACTCGTACCTAACATAATGTTTTTCATTACCGTAAATATTATGTTAGTTGTGAAAAATCTTACTATTCAGGACTGAAGCTGCCAGAAGTTGTTGAAGTTATCAACTCTAAAGGTATGTCGTTCATAATGGTGCATTCATAGCTTGGCTGGAATTTTTCTTGCTCTGCTTGAGGCCGCCTTTGTATTTTTTCGCGATCCTGTTTATGCTTGCGATCAGCACCCTTCAGTTTAAAAACCTAAAACAGAGAAAAAATATACTATTAAAAGATTAGTTTAAGACTTATTGGGTTTTTATGTATCTGCATACAAACATGCATACATACATAAAGAGTTTTCGTAAATATCAAAATAACCAGAGACTGAAAAAAAAGTTATTTTAAAACTGTTTACATCAAAAAGGCATAGTGAAAAAATTATGCTATAGCTTTTTAAAACGTACCATTAGACTCATCTCTCATTGTAGATTGGGATTCCTACATGAATTTTAAAAATTTGACTTTGATAACTTTGAGCGAATAATACCGATTGGTTCTGATTTTTATTTTTTTATATCGCAAAAATAAAAGTTACAAATTTGCCTTTTATTTTTTGAGCAGAAAGTAATAGGTAATTTATGCCTTTACACCGTTCGCGCGATTTTTAAAAATCAGATGCCATATAAAAGTGCTTGGCCTACAGGTCTGCAGGACGTCTTATTTTTTTAAAAAGGGTGGCCATTTGTTAAAAATTAGTTATTTTTGTGCAGAGTATCCGATTTAAAAACGTTCTCTCGAACTAAGTATCAAATGAAAAGTATTGGCCTACAGACGTGCTTTGGCTTTAATGTTTTTTTAAAGGTTTGCCACCTAATTATAAATCGTATTGCCTGATGTAAATTTTGAGCTAATGGGCAACCCTCGAACAAATATATACATATATTTATAAAACATTCTTTCTTTACCTTTTAGTTTAATACTAATATTGGATACCATTATTAAATTACTAACCGTTCATGGCTATAGACCTTTTTCATTGTTAACTAGGGGAAACCCTCCAAATTTGCATACACTAAACGGAATCTTACCGAACTCCATTTCAATTGATACCAATATTGGATATCCTTAAACATTATTTGAAACGCGCAACATTTTCTGACGTAGGTGGCAACTATGTATATTAAAAATACAATCATATTAATTTAGTTTAAAATCTTTTCGTTTGAAGCCCACTTTGTAACATTTTAATTAACTAGAATATTTCAATCAATAATTATAAACTAGGTGACAACCCTCGATAACTCGCATACATTTACACAAAAGCCCTCTCAACTAGCTTTCGTTTGATAGCAATATCGAATATCCTTACTTACACTACTTACCGTTAGGGCATGAATTTTCATGCACTAAAAAATACGAAATATGTGCTTAAAAAATGCAACAAAAAATTAAAAATATGCATGAAAAACAAAAAAAATGCGTTATAAATTAAAAAAATGCAGTAAAATCATTATATAAGCCTTCAGTTGATTCATACGTTTATTGAAGTTTTTAAAGATAAATAAAGTTAGGTACAAAAAATATTTCATTCAATTTTGCTTTTAGCAAATACGTACATTTCAATACACGGATGTATATTTGGGCCAATACACTCTGACTAGTGGGACATTTTACTCCAGAATGTGATCAATTGTGAATTTAAACTATGCGAAATATATTTTTTAACATAAGTCGATAACTAATGTATGAAATTGCTTTAACAAAAATACCAAACGATTTATTATTTTTATGTATCTACCATTTTAATGAATGTGACTGGTGGGACACTGAAAATAACTCTATTTTACCCTTGTGCACTAAAAGATTAATTTTAGCGAAAACAATTTTCACGAACGATGTAGTTGTGTTATAAAATATGAATTATACGCTTTTGTTTTCAATAAAATTGAGGTTTGTATAATCTTCATAGAAATATTAAAAAATATTTAAAATTGTGGCTGGTGGGACATCACAAGGAGTTTCCATAGACAAAAATTACAACTTATTTTGATTTTTTTAATATTTTCCCACAGGTTAATGAAATGTAGGCATCTAAAAAGAGGTTACTGAAATAGAGATAATTAGGGCATATTTAAGTTTATGACGTTTTCCTCTTTTCTATGGAATGACCCATAAGTACAAAAATTCAATCTTAAAATACTAGTATATCACATAATTTGGCTCAATCTTTAGTTAGCTACTCATTAGCGTCCACAATAAAATATTTTTTCATATTCTCAAAAAGAAAATTTCCCTGGTTCGATCATAAAAAGCTCTTATACATAGAAAATGAACGTTCTACATCCACAGAAGTAATTGGTCGTCTACCAGTTCGCTTGGAGTATATTCAATTTGTAAAACACTTTTTTCATTACTCAAATCAAAAAAGGTCGCAATATCCTTTTATTTTTTAAATCCTTGATTTTTCTCCAAAATTTTCTCTGGGATAAAATTGTAACTAAAAATTGCCTTCTAATGGTTTACAGAGTGGCCCGGAAACATGAAAAACCAAAACTTTTATGTTTGCCAATAGATTTCGCACTACATCGAAAATAAATGATAGCCGTGTTCACACTAACCTCCGTACTTCGTCATGAGGAGTTTTACGTGTATTTTGTTTGTGTAAAGCTGCCAACTAACGAATTTACAAAATTAAATATCCGTAAAAGTACGAACTAGAGAAATATGCACGATTTGCAGATTTGTAAAGTTTTCAAGAGTCAATATAATGCAAAATATGCGAAATATGCGAAAAATATGCATTTATGACTAAAATATGAAAAATATGCAAAAAACATTTGAATGCCATTTCTAAGATAATTTCATGATTCGCATAGATACTTGATCTATTTCGCTTTACCTAAGTCCAAGAAAAACATGTATTTGGATAGATTTCCATGCCCTACTTACCATTCATAGGTATACATTTGTTTAATAACAGGTCTATTCTGCACGTTACCGAAGATTTTGTAACCGGAAAATTTAATTACCAAAAAACGTTACCAGTTCTTGTCACCGCGATTCTAGGTACGTTGGTAATGCAGTTAAAATATTCAGCCATTCAGCTATGAAGAATTGTTTGTACTTTGTTACCAGCTTATGAGATGGTAACAAAATTTACCGGTTACAAGATTACGCAGAATGCGAAAAGGGTTTAAAAATTGACAGTAACTTTATTTACCGGTTACAAACTTTTTATTACCAGCGCAGAATAGACCTGTAAGTGGCAACTGTATTAAAGACACCAACATATTAAATTAGTCTCAAATCCATTTAGCGTGATGCTCATATTGTGATATATTACTGACTATCATATTTCAAAGAAAGCATTTTTAATTGGGCCAAACCAAAAACCAAAGCACGTCTGTGGGTCAATCCCTTTTATTTGACACCTCATTTTAAAACCGATTATATATAATAATAGATTGGCGCTTACACATATGTTAGTGTTTGGCCGAGCTTCTACTCCGATTTGTAGCGTGCGCCTTGATGTTGTCACACAAAGGGACGACCTACAGTTTTACGCCGACTCCGAACGGCGCACTAAGGGGTATTTGAGCCAAAAATCCGGTCAAAATTATTTAGGGGCCTATATTATCTCAAAATATAATAAAAAACAATATCTAATCAATATTTTGGATTTCTTAATAAAAATGCATAAAAAACCAGAAAAAAACATTCTAAAATATAAATAGAAAATTTGATTTTAACCGGAGTCAGTGCCATCCGATTCGCTGTTAACATCCGAATCCTCTTCATTATCATCAATATCTTCAACAGTATTGTCGTCCGACCTATTTAAGTTCGGTGTTGCAGTAATCAACATGGTTTTTGCCTCGGCGGAAAATGGCAAGATTTTCTTTTTATTCTTCCTCGGACAATTGTCCAATTGGCAGAATTGCTTCTGCCATCACTTGCGCTCCGTGCATCAGAATTTTGTGGACTGTAGGCAGCGTTGCCACAGACAACATTTTTTTCCTACCACTACCTGCGGTACCGCTGCGGAGTTGCAGACCTTTCCGTCCACCATTGTCAGCAAAATATTGTGACCGATTTTTACTGATATTTCACTGTCTACAGTTTTCTTCAGATTTTTAGCTTGATTTTCGATGTATTATATATTTTTTGAAAAATTTTGCCTTTGACTAAAAAAAATTAAAAAGGTTGGGGTGGGTCGGGGGTGATTTTATTTTTCATTCAGATAGGCTAAAGTTCAAACTTTATTACCACATTTTAAATGCAAGGCGACAAAGCCCGACACATAAACAAAAACACTATTGTTTCAAACTTTTGTTAAAAATACCACGTTTTTAAGAAGGAAATTTTCAACATAAGTCTAAATGAGGAACTTTGATGAGAAATTAACTGTAACATATTTTTATACAAAGTACATACCTTCAACATCCATATCCAATAAGAGTTTTTTTGGTAATTCACTATACGAAGACATATTAACACAGAGAAATATGTAAAATAATCAAAAGCGCCGAGAACAAAGACACGCGTTACACACAAAGGCTAGGTTCCGACTGATTATGTGGCCAGACGCAGAAAAACACGCGGGTTTGGGGGCTGTGGGGCGGTGAACCGGTTATCGTACTTACTTAAACATGCATTGTTTGTGTCATTTTATGAATTTTAGAAAAACCACTTTTGACCGGTTTTTTTCCTCAAATACCCCTTAGTGCGGCGATTGTTTTTTTATTTGGAATCTGTTTTTCATGGCAGAAATACACTCGGAGTTTTGCCATTGCCTGCCGAGGGGCGACCGTTGTTAAGAAAAAACCTTTTTTTAAATTTTTTTTTGCGACGTTGATTTGGCCAGGGCTTGAACCCAGGCACTGCGGAGTGGTATCGCGCAATGCTAACCACTACATTACAGCGCCCAGAATCGATAGAACGGCGTAAATCTGATGCTCTACTCAAAAATAAAGCCCTTTTATTTGATACCTCAGTTTTTGTAATACAACGGACGGTGCAGGTTTTATAATTTTAAAAAAGGTGCCAACCCTATTCAAAAAGTCATACATGTACATCTAGAGGCCAAGCCCTTTAATTTGGCACCTCAATTTTGAAAATCGAATAATCGGTGCTAAAGTTACGGTGACCATCTGTCCTTTATTTTAAAGAACAGTCCTTTATTTTAACCCCCTGTCCTTTATCATTTCTTTTTTCAAAATAAACACCGCCTTTTGCTCTTTATTTCTTAAACCGTCCTTTAA